TTTCGAGTTTAGGAAGAGACAAAACTTCGTTTTTTACAAATTTATACAAAAAGTTGTATGTTTCAATTGTTATTAAAAATTGAAGTGGAGAATAATTGAAAGATTGAATCAAATAGAAACCAATTCAATTATTGAATTAAAAAGTGTTAGAGACATCAACTAAGGCCAATTGTTTACTATAACAGAATAAAAGCTTTTAAGGAGAATTTTTCATTCAAAGAATAAAATAAGTTATAATTTTAAATATTCAATATAGACAAAGCCTGCGTAGCATAGTGGTTATTGCGTTCGCCTTGTAAGCGAAAGGTCGGCGGTCCGACTCCGCTCGTAGGCAATTTTTTTATCTTTTTATCCTTCATCCTCTTTGTCAAAATAACTCAATATAATAAAAAATTATATCATTTATTAATTTATAATATTCAAAAACAAAAAAATTGGCCTTCACGGATAAAAATTTGAAGGATGAATCCAAATCCATGCAAGATGTAAGAACTGAGAACCTTGTTCTCTCACTACAACTAACCAAGATTGCTTAGGTCTTTTCTGGAAATTGAAATTCATTTCTTTTTCTCTTTCAGGCAAGAAGTGTATAATTGCTTGGCTTCTGACGATTGCGATTCCTCTTCCATCTCCAGCCAGTAAAGATGAATTTCCATTCATCACAATTCCTATTGGCCTCCTTTCTCCTTTAATCTCTCTGATCAAAGGATTTTCATTCTTATTTTCTGTTGGTGCTGAAAACAATTCATAATCTTCTGTTTCAGGTATATAAACAGTGGAAAATCGTGAGGGTGTGCCTCTTTTAACCATTAAAAGTCCAACTCGGACGTAAGCTGACTCGCAATCAAAGTTTTCTGGTGAATATGATATGAAAAAATTATCTGGAAAAGTATAAAAATTAAGTCCCTTTCGCTTGCCTGGAGGCCTTTTTTGGTTTATTTCATTTAATTCGTTAATTTCATTTGTGAAAATTTTGAAGCCTTCAGGAGTCTCTGGTCGATCACATGGAAAATTGAATTTGCCTGCTTCGAGATCTATCAAATGGGAGCACTCAAGTCCAAACATTCGAACTCCATGATGTGCAAATTTTCGGAAAACGACGTTGCCACAGCCAAAAGGCAAAATTACTAGCCAATTTGAGCCAAAGCCAATTGAGCTCGATGGAAAACTAGAATTTGGGGCGAATTGCTGCATAATAACTACAGGAATTGAGCCAGAAGGAGCTTCTGCCTTTGGAAAAAGAAGTTTTGATCGTTCGGCATTAAAATCAGTTTCCGATTTGAAAACAAAAGTTCTATCTTTAAACAATGAAGATTCGCATAAATTTGGAATATTCAATGAACTATAATCAAAATTTGTTGATGACGATAATAATGAATTATGATCATCAATGGTTCGTGGATCGAGCGCAGTATAGCCAATTGAAATTCCTGGTGGAACACATGATGGTCCGGGTAAAGAATTTAATATTTGTACAACTTCTTTTGGTGTTTCTTCGGTATTTGGTTGTAGAACAGAGCAAATTGCTTCTGATGCATTTGGCCCATATACCTCATAAATGTTTAATTCACCATTAATAATTTCGATATCAATTTTTAATTTTTCATCTGAATTTTCTGTGTTAAAAGATTCAATGATTTGATCAATTAGAAGAGGGTTGCATATAAACCATAAATTGTTATCATCCACCCAAAAAGCTTCTGCTGGACCGATGGGAGAAGTTGGAAATTGATTTGGTTTAAATAATTCTATTGGGAATAAAATATGTAAACCTGTTTCAATCCTAGAGTCTGGACGTAAAAATTCAGATAGTTTGGATAAAAGTATATTTTTTGTTTCTGATGATGGTGGCATTGTTTGAGGTATTTCATTAGCATCGTTATAAGCTTTAAGCTTAAATGATATAATAACCGTATACGAAATATCCCGCATAGTGCAATTTTCTTTGGTCATCTTTATCAAACTTCTTGTTTGTTTCATTGTTGGTGCCCAAGGTATTTTCCATCCCCACATATCTGCCATATGAAAGCGTTTCGCATGCCATAAATGAGATTCTAGCCATTTAAACTCATGGTTTCTATGAATCATTTGATTTTGTCCATGACTCCTATATTTATTAGGATCACGGCCTGGTGGTTTATTTCGAGCTTTTGCTTCGGCAGCCCCTTTTACTTGTTCCTCAACGCCAGGTCTCATTGAGCGAGGAATTTTTTTTATATCATAACTCATTGCTCTTCTTCGAAGATGCTTCGGAAGCTTTTGAAAAGCTCTTTTGTGAGATGGTTTTTGATTTTCCATCTTTTTGATCATTTTGTCGATTGATGGATCTCTTTCTTTAGCAAATTCAACGATTTTAATTACAGGTGTAAGCGCCATTCAGTAAATTTAAATTATTTGAATTAATATAGGCCATTTATGAATTCAAAAAAAAAAAATAATAAAAGATGTTAGTAAAAATTTTTATTTCATTTGATTTAAACATTCTCTAGTTTCTGCTTCTTTGCAATCACAAGCTATAAAAGTATCTAAAATTGTTTTGCGGTCAAATTTATCTTCTAATTGGCTAATGAGCATATTAACGATGTTTTGTTGAGCTTTTGAAAGTTCCATGAAACTTGCATCAAAATCAGTAATTATATGACGTATTTCAGGAAGGTTATGTCCAATCATAGCCATAACTCTCTCTGGCGAAAGATTTAACGAGCGAAGAGTTATTTGAAAATGACGAAGAATAAATTCAGAAATAAGGGTATTAGACGTTTCATCAATCATCTGCCTGATCTCATTGACTTCTTTGGGATGGTTATAAAAATCGTTTTCTGGTTGATAAGCTTTTTCTACTAAATTAACTGACATGGCAGAACGAAGGATGGGAGAAATGATTTGTATAGCTTCTTCAATTGATACTTGGCGTTGGTTTGGCTGACCGTGCTGAAGTCTTGGTGGCTCACTTGCTGGTGGTGGTGGTGTTTGCGACGGTGGTGGCTGTTTGTTCTGTGGTTTAATATAAACAATTATTTTAGAATTTTCTTCAATGGAGCTAAATGGTGTAGGATTCTTAAGAATTTTTCCGATGTGAATAAATTGATAATCTCCTTCTATAAAATTATGTTTTGTATGAAGCTCGTTGCGTACATCTTCTAATGTCGCTTTGGGATCAACTTCAAGAGTTACAAACTGTTTAGATTTTGAGTTTTGGAATATTAATTTCATTGTTAAAAATCTTTACGATAAATTTTTACGACAGATTTAAAAAGTTAATGTGACATATCATATGAAATATTAAATGATTATATTATTTACTCTTTTTTTATGTAGAAATTATAACTTTCTGCAACTCTCAGCTTTTATGTTATCATCAAATTTTACTATTTCTTCAAAAAAATCTTTATCCTTTAAGTACAATAATCACCCTTTAATTCTTGGGATAGAGTATTTTTCAAAGCCAATAATAACTCTTAAATCGCTTTTAATTAAAGGTTCGAATGCTCCTCTTTTTTTGGAAAATCTGTCAATTTAAATCTAGAGGAAAATGGTTTTATAGACTTTTATAACGAAACGCTGCACATATCAGACAAAACTTACCTTTATTCAAAACTTTTTTTTTTTTCAAAACTGTACAGTTACAATAAATAAGTGTGCATTCTTAAACGATAATCCAGACGAATTTGGTGGTTCAATAGAAATTGTTGATTCTTCTTTAATCTGTAGTTCTTCGACTTTTGAATATTGTTTTTCTTTTTATGGAGTTGTTTATGGATCATTTTCGGATTTAAATTTTGATGATACAAACTTTTCATTTTGTATGTCTGAAAATGCAGGAGCAGTTGCTCTTGATAGGTCAAAAGGTCAATTTTTAAATTGTATTTTCAATAATAATCTTGCCGCTAACTTTTCGGCCATTTCAGTTTTTCAGGAATCTCTTTTTCTTACAGAATGTTTCTTTATCAATAATATAGTCGCTGATTTTGCATGTGTTTATATGAATAAAGCTTCAGGAATTATAAGATCATGTGAATTTTATAAAAATAGATGTGATTCATTCGAACTTCGAACTGCTGTAATTTGTTTATCAGATCCGCACGAAGTGAATATTATAGGCTGCAAGTTTTCAGAAAACTTGAAAGACTATGACTTTGAATTTGATCATTCAATATTTATATCTGGGAAATCTGGTGTTGCAAAAATTCGATTTTGCACTTTTGATGTTAGTATTAAGAATTCTATTATAAGTCAAACGAATAAAAATTTCACAATTTTTATTACCAATTGTAAGCAAGATTTAAGCATGAATCTATATTCAAAATCTATTGAAGAAGCAATTGTTCAGTTTTCAAAATCATTTAAATATAATTTTTCAGAAAATTTATCTATGTCTTTTTGTATGTTTGCAATTTTTGGTACAATTATTTTGTTCTTGATTGTTGTTGGTATTTTTTCATGTATCGGAATAAATTTATTTGATTGAAAACGATTTTTCTTTAATAAGCTCAAAAATCAGCAATCTCGCCAAATTGCAAAAAATGTTCGTTTTTGTAGAGAATATTCATCAATAAGATATTAGATTAGTATTTGAAACTATTTAAATTAGTTTATTTAATCTGATATTGATCTGAGAAAATTATTGATAACTTAATCTGTTAAAGAAAAAATTAATTATTATTAAATAGTAAATTAGAATGATCTTTTTGACCATATTATTATTTAGGTGGCGCATCATTCAAAATTTTTAAATGTTGATTAGAATATATTGATTTTAAAATTATTTCATGATTATTATTATTTGTATCATATTTATACTGATTGGAAGTTTATAATTGACTCTATGATATTTTGAAAAATGGCTGAATTAAAAGTTGATTCATTCTTGATATGAAAACTGGAAATCACATTGGAATTTCTGGAAAAAATAGTCTGATAATAGAACTGCCGTAAAAAAACATAATCTCATAAAAAAAAGTAAATTAAGAACTTTTCACAATTCATTTATTTTTGTTTAATGGATTTCTAAAGAAAAAAATCGAACACACGACCTTAGGATTATGAGACCTACGCTCTACCGACTGAGCTACCAAAGCACTTGCAGTGTAGGATTTTATAGATGATCTTTAAAAATAATATCCAAATGTTAATTTATAAATCTACATTTTTAAAGAAATGAATACAATAAGTGTCAAAAAAATGATGCCTCAATATTATTCTCAAAGCAAATATCCTATCAAATCACTTTGGAAAATCTGCGTCAGGGATGTCCGTACAAAAACTTTTCCTTCAAATCATTGTATCTACTTCATGAGTATATTTAGAATGTGGATTAATTACCGAAAAAAACTCGCCCTATGTCTTATTTCAACAAAAAATTTGTAGTATAAATTATAATTAAATATGAGTTAATGATTTTATAAAATTGTGTGTATATTAAAGCTTATAAGCTAGTCAAAAAAAATAATTTTTATATTTATAGCTTTTCATTTTATCTTATTGCATTTTTATAAACAAGCGAATATTTAATAGATTTATGATTTTCAATACAGCCACCAGAAAATACCGAGGAGGAAGAAGAAGTTATTCCTGTTGACACTCCTGAAATGAAAAAAGCAAAAACTAATTTGAATAGTTTCTTGTGTATGAGTTTAAAATGTGGGAAAAACGAGCTGAATTGGAAAGAATGTGTTTATGAAAAAGATTCTGAATTGAAGATAAATGATGAGAATTTTCATATTGATGAATACCAAAATGTTGATGATTATCTTGATTATGTAGATTCTTTTATGTAATTATGTTTGTTATTTTATATATTTTGTAATGTTTTTTAAAAAAAATTGTTAAATAGTTTGAGATTTAAAAAAAAGAAGAAAAAGCATTAATATACTTTTTTAATGTTTAGGAAGAAAAAAGCTTTGGTAGCTCAGTCGGTAGAGCGTAGGTCTCATAATCCTAAGGTCGTGTGTTCGAGTCACGCCCAAAGCAGATTTTTTTTTTATTTTTTCTCCTTTACCTTTTCGCTTTTTAATGGCATATTCGTATTCAGCTCCCAACAAGGATTCTAACCATGCTAATTTTTCTAACTTTCACCAAAATTTTATTTCTAATCTTCAAAATATCTCCGACCAAACCTCAAATTTTTCAACCTCACCACAAATATCTCATTCTTTACCTTATAACAATCTCAATGATATCCATACTTTTGAAAATTCAAATTATAACGATATATTTTCCCCTACAAATTTCCAAATTTTTAACAATTTATCAAATAATTCTGATCAATATTTATGCAAAAAACAATATTATACTACGTTTGACCCAAAACATAATACTATTTCTTATCATACATATTTTAATCTTTCGTTCAAGAAATTAGAGTCCCAAGACCTTTCATTTAATGACAAAATTAAACTTAAAATTGTTGACGATCCTGATGTTCTTATTTCTAACGAAATTTCAGACCCTGATTCTTCTTCGATAAGTGATGATGATGAGGATTTCAATTACAAAGCAACTAATTCGTTCTTAAGTAATGACTTTTTCAATGATATAGCCTCTTTTGAAGACTGTGAGTATTCAATTCAACATTCACAACAATCTCGATCTATACAACTTTCGCAGCAATCGCAATCGTCGCAGCATTCACATCATTCTCAAATGCAACCTACTCCAGTTCAATTAAGTAATAATCAATCAAGTCTTAATTATCTAAATCTAAATCAATCAATCTTCATTCAACCAGATGACAATCAAATGATCCAAACACAACAAACTCAGATTCAATCAACTAATAATCAATCAATCCCAATTCAGTCAATTCTAGAAAAATCTAATCTCAATCAACAAAACCTTGATCAATCATTCAGTTATCAATCATCCTCAATACGTCAAAGTCTTGAGCGAACAGTTGATAATCAAATGATTCATAATCAATCAAATCAAAATCAATCAATTCTCATTCAACGTAATGATAATCAACTAATTCAAAAACAACAATTTCCCGTTCAACTAACAAATAATGTTCCAAACCTTAATCACTTAAATCATGAGCAATCGTTTAGTAATCAATTGATACAAATACAACAAACGATTGATCGAACAAATAACAATAAATCAATTCTTAAACAACCAATTGATAATCAATCAATTAAGACGAGATTATCCCTTGGTCAAGCAGATAACAACCTATCCAATCATAATCAATCAATTCAAGAACAATCTATTCTTGATCATCCAAGCATTGAACATTCTATTGATAATCAAATGACCCAAAAGCAACGAATTCCTGATCAAACATCTGGTAATCAATCAGATTTTGATCAATCAATCACCAATCTTCCAATTAGTGTTAATCGTTCATGCCTTGACCTTCCAGGTCAAGATCAATCAAATTCTGATCAATCTAGCCACGAGCAATCAAATCAAGATCATTTATCCAATAATTATTCAATCCAAAATCTACCAACTCATCCTCATTCAATTAATCCTATTCATGAGTTATCCATTCACGATCAATCTTCAAATAAACAAAGCCAGAAACCTAATATAAACCATCAGCATGAATCATCTAAAGATCATTTACCCTCACCGTCTTGTAATACTAAAGATAATCAAAATGATATATTTGATTCTTCAAATTACTCCAAAAAGACATCATATCTTAAACATTCTGACCCAACAATCAATACAAAACGAACTTATGTTACTTTTGATCCTCGAAGTAAAGAAATCATTTATACAAATTACCAGATTTTATCATTAAGCAAACTAGAAGGACAAAACTTAACATTTAAAGAGAAGATTGATAAAGGATTAATTATAGATCCTTATTCACAAATTTCTAATGAAGATGAGGAAATTTGTCAAACCTTTAATCGTTCTGATAGTGTTGACTCTTTTAACTCTATTGATGAAAATAATTATAAATCCACAGAATTCGAATATGCTGATATTAATCCTTCGTTCGATGTTTTACAGCAGTCTAATGAAACTGCAAAAGAAGTTCAAATATTTCCAAATCATAATAATAATATTGATTCAAACAATGATCAATCATATCAGCAAGGAAAATCTAAACTTATTCCCTCTCGTTTTCGCAATTCTAAATTTTCAGAATCAGATGATAAATACATCAAAGAAAAAGTTCTTTCAGATGTGATTCCTGACTGGTCAGAAATTGGAAAACACATAAATAAGTCTCCCAGATCGTGTCGTGACAGATACTTCAACTATCTGTCTGATATAATTCTATCTCCAAAATGGACGATTGATGATGATGTAATCCTTCTCAAACTATTCAGCTCTATTGGTCCTCAATGGAAGGCAATATATAAATGGTTTCCTAATCACACACCTGCAAATATACGTTCGAGATGTCAAAGCATCTGTTCAGACTACGAAGCTCCTGAGACTCAAACTAAAACAATTATCAATAATCATCATTGTAATAATCAGACTAATTTTATCCAGACTCTTCATGAGGAAGATCAGCCAAAAGTTGAACCAGTATATTATCAACAATTTAATTCTGAAGATTTGTCAATCCATTCATTTAACAAACATCAACAGCCTCCTTATGAGGACTTTCCTTTGAACCAGGTTAATAATCTCTCATCTGTCTCCTCATCTGCTATTGTTAATTTTCAAGATTCTAATATGTCAACCTCAACTGGTAGCTCACTTGATAGATCATATAATTGTGATTTCTTACCAGATCAGAGCGCCAAGGCCAATGATTCTTCAGACGAATCTCCAGCATTAAAGCTATCTTATCCAAACCACTCACTAATTGTTCAGGATATGAATAAATGGAATGAAACGGATATTGAACATTTAATTGCTCTTTTCAAATCTCACGGATCTAATTGGGATTTCATTGCTCATCAATTTACGAACCACTCACCAGATGAAATTCGGAACAAATTTTTGGAACTCTTCCCTGATTACTTTTCAGATGATGAAGAATCACCTCTTTCCAATCAGCCGAAACAAATATCTACAAATAGCCAACAGGCTTTACCTCCAATGGATGATATTGAAACATTTCAACTTCCTTCCTCAGAAGAAGATACTGACTCCAGTTTTTCTTCCTCGACTTTACACTATCCTTCCTCTATCTATAATACTTGGAACGTTCCTTTCTCTGATATTCCCGCTCTAATTGATAATCCCTCTTATCCACAGCATGGAGTCACTCATGATCTCCTGGAAAACCATCAATGTAGTCTTGCCTCTTCCTCAAATGAGAACTTAACCTTTAATAATAACAGAATAGATTTGAATTACTCTTCTAATCTCAACTCATCTCTCCCGCTACAAAATACTCAAAATAATTTTTTACATAATCTCATTAATTGCTTAAAGTGCATTGACGATGATGATACGAAACATATGCTAGATGAACTTAAGATCTGCCACCTTCCTCATTTAGACTCACCGATCTCAATGGAATCGTCAATATTCGACCTTATTGAGAGTAGTACTGTTTGGCCGAAGTTCACTATCAATTCTTGCTTTGTCGATGAATGTTCATATGTGGGCAAAACAGAAGGTCAAGTCAGAGTTCATTACTCAAGTGCTCGCAAGGTTCCGGTGGCCAGATGCAGGGATGAGTTGATAAACACTGTCGCATACCTGGCACACCGTGATATTATAACCATATATGACTTGGAGAATGGAAATGTCAGATTACCAGAGAAACAGATGCTTTACTGCCACAAACCTGGCTGCGGATATGCGACAGAAAGAGACTGCAATATTCGTACACACAGAAAGGGACACGGTGCTTTCCTTAAACGTATCGAAAACTTGGGAAGATTTTGGGGAACTCTCAAATCATGGATTATTGATTTAAACCGCGTTCCCACAATCGGTGAATTCTTAGGAGAAGGTGAAATGTGGGCTTGTAGCCTTTGTGACTATATTACATCCAACTCTATGAATATCAAAGACCACATTGCTCAAGCTCACAAAATCAAAACTGGTGATAGAGAGAACGCAATCACCACAATTACTCTCAAATTTAAATTTGATGATCAATATTCTCCAGAAGTTATCAACCACACTTGTTGTCCTAACCCTTATAACAAACATG